TTGGTTGGTTGGTTGGTTGGTTGGTTGGTTGGTTGGTTGGTTGGTTGGTTTTTTGATGACATGAATAGTACCATAAAGCATCATCGCTAGACTTTCATGGGTGTTTTGATGTGTGATCATCTCCTGGGTCTGGGTCTTTTGCCAGGATTTTTCACATGTATAATGTAGGATAAGTATAGTTTTATAGTGATTTGGAATGTATATAAAATTGAGTAAAGCAGCCAAGTGGGACAGGCAGAAATTGAGAAAAATTAAGTGGCATTGTGGTACCTTGTAGTTTTAGATGTTGACTTAACTTTATAGGAAGAGTATCTTACTAAAATATTTGCACAGAAACTACAGGGGAATGATATGTGAGTAAAGAATGAGAGCACTTGTTCTTGCTGTGGGAACTCAGAAGACATCTGTCCCCTTGGTCAGTCAGGGAAGAAAAATGTAAGTGAAGTTATGCTAGTGAGCAAAACCAGACATGGGATCTGCTTTCTGGCTAGCTAGTCAGGTTGAAGAGTGAGGGATTGAAAGAAATGTATAAAGTAAGTGTGTGAAGAAAATGTACATGACAGAGTCACAAGTGTGGGTCAGGATATTATAGCAGAGTGGAATTAGAGAATTTCTGCAAGTTCCCCGAAGCCTGCCTTAGGCCTTTCCAGATAGGGCCAGGTAGGCAGTGCATTCCAGGTAAGATGCATTGCGTTGCTGAGACGTGGACAGTTACCTCACCCTTCTCTCGGATTACTACACACGCGTATTCTACCTCCCCTGTCCTCATCCTAATTTTTTTTAATGATTTTATTGAAATAGAATTACATCATTTCTTCCTTCCCTTTCTTCCCTGGAGCCCCTGCCAGGTACCCTCCCTCCAAACACTTCCAGGTCCCCTCCACTCTCAGCTCTTTTCTTTGATTATTGTTACATACATATGTACACAAACACAGCAAATAAATAAGTAGAACCTGCTGCATCTTTTTTTGCTTGTGTGTATGGTTTCAGAGATGACCACTATGCATTTGACAACCAGTCGGGCTCATCTCTGGGAGAAGCTAACTCTACC